GTTAAAAAGCGTACACATCAAGGTATCCTGTGATGCCAATTTTGAAATCATTTAATTTTGTCTGCGGAAAATAATTTAATTTGAATGTTCAAATTAAGTCAAATTTTGACTTCATAATGCGCCAATAAAAAACACTTGTAGAATTTGAACCACCCAATATATTTGATAAAAATTGGTTCAAATGTAGCCAATAGTCACACCAAACTATGGACAAAATTTCAACCTGATTGAATGACGGTGTAGGATTTATTGCAGTTTTAGTTGAAGTTTTGTCAGTTTTTTGCTACTTATACCTCATAGCGTTACTGATTACTATGAAATTCGGTCACTATTTTTAAAATAACGATTACATAGTGTTCTACTATGTAATACCAATAATTTTTGTTATCATTATTTTATCGGTACATGTACAGTTTTTATTTAATAGACCAAAATGGTGATTTGCTAATTAAAGCGTGATTTGAATTGGATTATGCCAATGGCGTTGACATGGCCTTCAAAGTGGAGGGGATCAACCCTTCAATTTCTAAAATAAAATCCATAATTTCTAAAATTATTGCCAATATTTCTTACACAAAAGGTTCTCGCAAAAAAAAGAGAATGACATGACCCCCTAGCCTCTCCGGCGTTGACGGCCATGTATGCTTCGCTTGAATATACTAACATTTCCTAAGGTATAAACTGCTGCCAAAAAAAAAAAACTAAAAAAAGTGCAAAACCTGGTTAAAGGACTACTATTTAGTAAAACAAAAAAAAGAGTAGATCTCCTAAAATATTTTGTATTGACCTCCTTAAATACATTTACTTTTAAAATGAAGTGAAAACTATTTAAACTCTATTTTTTACATTCTATTATCATCAAATATCTAATTACATTTTAAGAAATGTTTTTTTGATTTTCTCCACCAAAAGATTATTAATAAATAGCTCAATGTACTCTTTTAATACAAATACTTTATAATTCTATTTTTAAAGATGGTGAAAATATTCATTATACGCCGTGAAATATTAATTTCAGCAGCCTAATTTCTAATAACTCAAATGATGTTCTTTAAAGATGCTTACTGTTTAGATCAATTACGCAGCGCAACAATCTTTCTTTGAACTCTGGATGATTATTATTTCGCTTATACCTCGACCAATGTTGATAAAAATCTTGATTAGAAGTTTTGACAGTTTGTTCACTACAGGGCCCCAAGGGGGATCCTTTGTGACTGATGAAATCCTTGATGTGGTAGAAGACGGCGCGATATTTGGGTGTTACGCTTGCACCTGTTATCATTAGGCAACACTCTTTGAAATTTTCAACTTTTTCAGCAAAATCCGGCATAAGGATGTGTCCAAAGCAAGCCTTGACAACTAAACTGAAGCTTTTGAATGCTTCAATTATGCACAAAATATTGGGAACCATGTTTGTCTCAGCAAGTTGCTGCAGGATATCCACATCTTTAGGAAGCTTCCTGCATTCATTTCCCTCAAACTGGCCCCTGTGATACGGGCTCAGTTAAATGTGGAGGGCGGCTGGCCACTTAACAGCTTCTATCCAAGCAGTTTTAATGATCTTGAAAAGATGGTTGACAATTCCTAAGAGGAGATGCGATTCCATCGGTGGAATGATTTCCGAAATCAGAACATTGACAGGGCCGCTGATGATTGGCTTTCGAATAACATTGCCAAATAACTTTGCATTAACAACAACCCCGCTAGATTGCTGAAAAGACTCAAGGCTTGAATTAATTGAGCCCAGTGTTCGCAAGTTTCCAGATTTGGCAAGACAATTGAAACAATTGGACAATGCTTAGGCAAAACTTGAGAAAACCTTTATCACCATCAATTCCGAGCTTAACAAAATAGCCACCAGAAATTTTGCGGGACTGAATAACATGATTCACAAGACTTGATAAATCATTGCAGTGAGCAACAACATTAACTGTACAAGAATCTGTTTTTTTGTCTGTGATTTTTAAGTCGCTGCAGGTGAAATTGCTCAATTGTTAACCTAGTCTTAGAAAACTTATGTAGAAATTTTGCTCTACCATCTTGCTGCTTGATGTTTTGTTTATAGTTCTAACAAGTTTCTTTAATCCGTTGTTTGACAGGCCCGTATTTAATTACACATTTAAAAGGGCTACTGTGGTCAATTTCGGAGCACTTGATGGTGTCTACGAACTACTTTGACCTAAAACCAAAACAAACTTTGTTTAGTAAGTTTGTGTAAAATTTTCAAATTATTCGTTTTTAAACTTTCGTTTAGAAACTTGTCAAAAATATACTTCTTGAAATCTATCTAGTGTTATTTCTTAATAGTCAAGACTTTATTTCAATATATATGTTAAAATTATTTAAGTATAAATATTTACCAGGGGTAACTGTAAGTGGAGGCCCGCCGGATGCTTTAGCCATTAGAATAATTCCTTCCGGAGATAATTTTTTATTGGAAAAAACTTGAGATGCGATTTTTTCGGATGACTTGGCATTTTTTGCTGCTAATGATTGAATGTTTTCCCTTAACATTATTTGAGAGCATTGGTGGGGCAAACCTTTTCCTAAAGGGCTGAGGCATTATTAGGCAACAACACATCGTGCTTCTTGTTTCAGGTCTCACTTGTATTTACTTGAATCGAACAAAGGAGGGAGTGCAACTTCTTTCTTCTTTTGTTTCCTGCGCAAAGTAAATCTTCACGATTCACAGAATCCTTTTGGTACCCGAGTATCACTGATATTGATCTTTGTACAGTTGGCATATTCGATCTCCTTGAAAAGTAGTAAGCTGTCTTAAACATTTTTTCAGACAGAGCAAGCACATAAACTTTCGATTTTCATTATGATTCTTTGCTTGGTTTGGCATCGTGGCAATTCACTAAAACTCTGCTTTTTACAAAATTCGATCTAAATTTATATTTGATAACAATCCACTTAACATAGTAATACATATTATTAATTAAAAACTATTAAAATAAAGGAAATATTTACTTAATTTAATTAAGGCAATATTAAATTACAAGGAAATAATTCTTGAATAGTTCTTTTCTTACCAGGAAACAATTGTTTAAACTATTTACTTGGAAGGAAATTACATTATTGATAATTGTCACACTTATTAAACTAATGATACTTGTCACACGGGTTGTTTTATTTCAAAACAACCCTTCAACCTAAATAGTCATTCAGTTAGAGTATTTTTACTCCGACTGGCCCTCCAAACTTTGTATTGGTCAGATATCTTCGTTGACTTATCGAAATTTTTTAAGTCAATTATCTTAGTCAATATAAAATATATTTGTTTTTTTCACTGTTGTTCTGTTTTCAGATAAATAAATATTTTTATTTTCTATGTAGGTATCACTAAAAATCCTTCTTAACCATTTTTTTTAGAATTTTTTGCATTCTGGCAGTAGTTTTACTTTAGGAAATGTTGGTATATTCACGCTAGGCATACATGGCTTTATGCATACATGGCTTTATGCACGCTAGGCATACATGGCTTTATGCACGCTAGGCATACATGGCTTTAGGCATACATGGCCTTGACGGCCATGTATGCCTAAAGCCATGGCCTGCCCACTTTTTTTTTTGCGAGAACCTTTTGTTTTAGAAATATAGGCAATTATTTTGGAAATAATGGATTTTATTTTAGAAATTTAGAGGTTGACGCCCTCCACTTCGAAGGCCGTGTCGACACTATTAGCATAACACTATTTAAATCACGCTTGAAGTAGAAAATCACTATTTTGGTCTATAAAATTAAAACTGTACATAAACCGATAAAATAATTATAACAAAAATTATTGGTATTACATAGTAGAACACTCATGTAACCTTTATTTTAAAAATAGTGACTGAATTTTAAAGTAATCGGTAACGCTTTGAGATATAAGTAGCAAAAAACTGACAAAACTTAAACTAAATCTCCAATAAATCCTACGCCAGTCATCCAATCAGGCTGAAATTTTGTCCATAGTTTGGTGTGACTATTGGCTACATTTGCATCAATTCTTATCAAATTATATTGAGTGGTTCAAATTTTTTTATTGGCGCATTATTAAGTCAAAATTGACTTAATATGAACATTCAAATTAAGTTATTTTCCGCGGACAAAATTAAATGATTTCAAAATTGACATCACAGGGTACCTTGATGTGTAAGCTAACTTTCCTTATAAGTGGCGTTCTTGGGAGAGCTAGGTAGATATAATAAGGATCCGTGCTAACCGTGTATTTCTTTATGTAGGTAGCTTTATAAAAACCATTTTCATGCATTTTGACAGTAGTTAATACCTTATATGATATTTTCATGAAATATATAAGCCAAGTAAAAACACGCTTTAAAATTGATTTGCTAAATCAATATTTCGGTCTTTTAAATGAATACGGTAGTTGTAGCAATATAACAAAGATTATTGGTATTACATAGTAGAACACTTGTGTGACTATAATTTTGAAAATAGTGACCGAATATCACAGTAATCGGTAACGTTGAGGTTCAAGTAGCAAGAAACTTTGATCAGTTGTCACAAACTTTGACCAATTGACCTATCCGGCTAAAATTTTATCCAAAGTTTGGTGCGGCCATACGATACATTTGCACCAACCTTTATCAAATTATATAAAGTGGTTCTTATTTAACAGGTGTTTTTATTGTCGCAATATTTAGTCAAAATATCACTTAACTATCAGGATCCGTGCTAACCGTGTGCTGAAAGCTTTAATATTAGTGGAAATGTATAATTTTCATATAGGCTTATTTGTTAAAACGTATTGAGAACTAAAATTGTAAAGATGCAGCAAGAACTTGGTCACTCTACCCTACAAGAGCATTACGGAAGCGACTTTTAAACATTAGTTTAAAGCCAAAATTCGAGTTTTATAATAAGTAGTCAAGATACTAACTGAGTGTGATATTTATTAATAAATACTATTTAAGTGGTATTTTTAACATGGCTTATTTATGTGAATACAAGAACTTAGGTGCATTGAAATCTAAAGTTAATTGCTTATTTAGCTTTGCTTGGCCTTTTCACTTAAATAAAACATAGCATCAACTTCAGCAGGAATGGGTGCACATGCTGATCGAGGTGGAAGCTAAACCAAAGTTATAAAAATAAAATTAAACAAAAAAATAAAAGCAACTGAAAAGCAAAAAAATAAAATATTCTAGACTTACAAGGGCACATATGGCATCGGCATCCTTATGGCTAATTTTAAATGGAGAACTTTCTAAAGTCACGTTTTCACTATAAGCAAATAATCACAATGCAATGAATACAACAAGATTGAGTATTTGAATTAATCAAAACAAACCAGCATATGTAAAAATAGAACATAATTATTTACCAAATTATTTGGATTTGCTGAGTATTTTTTTATAACTAAAGCTTAAATTGATTTTAAAGAGAAATTAATTTAAAGAGGAATCCTGCAGTAAAAAACTGGATCAAAACTTTTTTCCATTTTAAGTTAAAAAATTTAATAAATAATTTAGATTGGATATTTTTAATTCTGTTCAACTATAAACAGAAAATAAACAACTCCTAATTTCATTTTCCTTTATGGTTAACTAGATTACTAAAAGATTAAGTCATTAGACTAACATCACATAAGATTAATATCACTAAAAGATTAAACGATGTTTTAACTTAAGATACATGGCATAAAGTTTTTAACTTGATTTTAAAACATTCAAACTGAATTTTCATTTACACACACTTTTTTTTATATAACTAAAAGTACTTTTTTCATCTTTTTTTCCAACAAACCATGAGAAACATTGAAGTAATAAAACTAAATACTAACTGAGTAAAAAAGAAAAATTAAAAATGACTAACCATGCAATATTCTTAACATTTTCAATTTTTTTTGTAACTAATTCTTCCCATCTACTATGTGTTTGCAAGACAATCTCAGTAGCAAACTCCTTATGCTTAGCCTCACCGTTAAAAGCAAACTTATTTGGGGGATCTCCACCAGGCATTTTATATATTTTGAACCACTCTACTGTAGCCTGTTGAAAAAAAACTCAGTAAAATACATAAAAAATTGTACATATATTTAGTGACGGATCCAGCATTTTTTGTTGTTTGAGCTAACTTCCAGACATGGAGCTAACTCCAACATTTGTATGTTTATATTAGTGTCTAATAATGATGCTTTGCAAAAAATTGCGATGATTGGAGGCCGGAAACAAAAAAGCCTTAAAATTTTATAACCTTCCCCTCACCCCAAATGTGAGCATAATAAGTTGATAAAATATTTTGTACTAAGTTTTAACTAGACTTATATTCATCAATAAATTTCAAGTTTCATAGTATAATCTCACAGCGTTTAAAAATTATGACAATATAAAATTAGCAACCCCCTGTAATTAAAGAGGCTTAAAACTTTATATGGTCAAAACTTTTGAACGGTAAGAAATAATACTATGAAACTTAAAATTTATCAATGAATATAAGTCTAATTGAAAATAAAACAAAAATATTTTATCAACTTGTCGCCCTCGTGTTTGGTGTTCGATGGGGTGGAATAAATGGGAGGAAGGAGGGAATAGGGGGAGGATGTAATTTTAGGGCTTTTTTGTTTCCAGCCTCTAACCATCGCAATTTTTTGCAAAGCATTATTATTTAACAGTATAAACATACAAATATTTGGAGTTTGCTCCATGTCTGGAAGTTAGCCATCTCAAACAACAAAAAATGCAGGATCCGTCACTGCATATATTTTTTTCTTTTACAGAAAAATATAAATTCATTACTTCAAGTAAACCAGGCATCACTTCTTTTACGTCATCAATATCTATAATATTAAATACCATCATTATCTATAATATTAAATATCACTCTTATCTATAATATTAAATATCACTCTCATCTATAATATTAAATTAGTTTAATTTAATACTATTATAAGTTAAAAATACAATTAAAAAAATTCTTTAGGATTAATATAATGCTTGTAAATTTTACTACAAAACATACATACAAAAAAAATTGAAAAAAACAAACAAACAAACTATACATACAATAACAAATTACTGCATGTTTTTTTTTTTTAAAAAAAAAATTTTTTAAAAAATAATAATTATTTAAAGTTATAAGAAATTAGGTTTACTGCTAACAAACAAAATCTATGCTTTTGATAATTTTAGATTTATTGGTAACAATACAGAATTTATAAACCAGGGGTGTACAGGGGATGTCTGTTACGTTGTTGGACATATCCAACAAAATTAAATAAAAATTTTCAACATATATATTGTTTAAAAAGAAAGTTTTACTGTTAATATAACAATTAAAACCAATAACTAAACAAGTTATGGACAATTAATTATCTGAAACAAATGGAAAGAAATTTAAAAAAAGAATACAAATTGTATTCCCGTGTAATTTTGCAATTATTAAAAAAAAAAAAACAAAAAAAAAAACATTTTAATGGAGGTTAAACTAACTTTTGAGTTGTATAACCTAATTTGTGTTGTATAACCTAATCTGAAACTTGAATCGACATATTTTTTTAATTTTGTTATATAGAACTTTATTTTTTAAATATTCTTTTATAAGCTTAAAAAAATCAAAACGATTATTTTAGAACAAATTTTGGACATTCCTTTTCAAACACACGCTGAGTAAAATAATTAAGAAGTTTATTTATTTAACTATTATCAGAAGGCAAAATTAGTAACAACAAGTATACATTAAAATATATCAATAAACATACAATAAACAAGTTTTATTACAGACTGCATATCTTTTTAATAACTTGCATTTTGAATTATAAATAAGGAAAGAAAAAGTTTCAAGTATGAAAAATTTAATTCGGACGGCCCTTTCCACAAACACTTGTGTTTTATTAAACTAAGAATATAGCTGCTTAGTTCAAAATGTTGCTAAATTTGAAAGTTTACATTCCACTCTAAAGAAAATACAAGTTGAAGTTAGTCTGCAGGAGAGAAATATTGGAGAAAAAATATTTAAAGTTAGGCAACCAAATAATATATTGATGGTGTATAATTTTCGTTATCATAATATCCTTTGTATACAAGAAAGGAAGATAGAGAACAAGAAGAAGCTGTTTGAAATTGCATCGATAAAAACTTGTCTTTGTTCCTTAATGTTCTTGGATAATCAAGCATTTGTGGCAAAAAAAATAGATTCTATATCCAGATTTTGGATTTCTTAAATATAAATTATTATTTAATTAAACTATTCATCCTCGTAGGAGACTTCTGAGAATTATTATGCCCCTATGTTTTCAAAGTGCTTTTGCTGCCCTTTTCTATACAATATTTTAACAAAAGCTACTATTAATTTTCCTTTGGTTATTAGGAGATGTAAAATCATGGCATGGATACTTAACTAAAGTTTTTTATTTTTGAGGTTTTCCTTTCTGAAAATCTTCAAGACAAAAAAACAAAAATGACTTGAAATATCAATAGTACATTTAATTGTGGAACCTCTTCAGAACCTCTTTCAAAGTTTTGGAGCCTCTTTTCTACTAAGTTAATAACATGTTTTCGATTTAACTCTTTTAATCACACAATTGTGCAGGCATGTAATAATATTTTTTATAACTCGAATCTTATTCAAGCATTAAAAGATGTTGTCTCGATTTAAAAATATTGTTGACCTTTAAATATGCTTTGAAAAAGCCTAAAAATTGCATTTCCAATTATTTTAAATTGGTTATCACTGCTCCTTTGCTAAACTATCAGAGTACTGAGTTCAACTCAATGTTCGATGATACAACTTGAGAGTGTTATAAAGAACCTGTCTTTTTGTTTCTTTGTTCTAATATTTAGTTTCTTCAAAAACGATTGCAGAAATTTAGTGTTCTTGTTATTCTAGTTGGAAATAATTATTTGAAACAATTCTTCTTAGTAAGATAAACAAATGGAATAATTAAATCATTGAATTACTATAGAAATTAAATTAACTAGATAGAAATTAACTAAAAAGGTTAAAAATACTTTATGACGAGGAAGCGAAACTGCTTCACAATATCGCTGATGTTTAGTGAGTGGGCTTTTTAATTTTAATTAGTATTTAAAGCAGAAAAAAGTATAACGAGTTTTTAAGAATGGCAACTTAAGCGAAAATAATTAGATTTAGTGAACCAATATCTAGAAACTTTTCTTTATATCTAATAACTTGTTCATCCGCAAGTTACTTTGTATGCATAGTTAGTGTTTAGTAACCAGAGCCTACTTATATGTTTGCTACATAATTAGTTTTATTAACTTTAACGATTATTAATAACTTCATTGAAAACGCAACTATTTTTGTAAGTCTTTGTTTACAAATCAACTCGATAACAATATTATATTTACATAAAAAATACATACTCTTTAAATAAGTATATACTAATAAAATCTACCATTTAAAATAAACTTTCATAATTTTGATGATTTAAATAATATATATTTAAACCTTTTATTTATGTAAACAAATAAAAATAGTTTATAAGAATTACGGCTATGCAGATGTGGCTCCGAGAATGAGCCATAGAATTGATAATATATTCTTAAAACAATTTAAGCTAGAAATCTCAAAACATAACAAATCGTGAATAATACAATTTCTAAAACATTTCAACAGAATAATCTAGAACTTTATTTTGCTTAGTCAGTATAATTTTTGAACCAATACTTAGTTTGTTTGTTAATTTGGCGGGTTTTTAGTGTTCGCGAATATACTTTTTATTCTTCTGCATCAAGATGTTTTGAGAGCATTTAAGTTTTTTATGTTTCTATGTATGTCTGTAAAACAAAAATTTCGTACATAAACTTAAATGTTCCCAAAACGTCAAAAAAACCTGACCAGTTTTTCCCAACTAAATATAATTTCTGTGGTCAGTATTCGAGAGCGATCACTCCCGCTTCCCGACCAAGCCTGCAATTATACAATTAATACAATATATTATACAACTAGTATACAATTTTAAAAAAGTTTTAATTTAATAAAAACAAATCATGTGCGTGCAATTTTCCACTAACCAATTATTGGCATTGTTTACAAAATTTATATTAGAAAAGTAATTTTTTTCTTCAAGATAAGTTACTTATAACCTTTATTTAAAAAATTTGTAATAAAATCAGGGTTGTTGTGTAGAGATTTGAAAGGGTGGGTGAAAAAAATAAGGGTTTTGCCGACTATGGGCAAATAATAATAATAATTCCTAAATAAGACCTTGTTGGCTAATATTTGCTGATTACCCAAATTTGTCGAATTTAGTGTCCGAATTTGCAGACTAATTTTTGCATAAAATTTCTTTCGAGTGATTAGTCACTTACCTATGCCTCCTTATTTCCCTAATACAGCCCTGATTAAAATACATTGCAAAATTTAAAATTTATTTTATTAAAGCGCCAAAAGATTTTTTTCACCCACCTTCAGAAAGTCTAGCGCTGATCATGAATATATGTGAATAGTGTTTGATTTATAATTCAAATATAATAAAAGATATAATTTCAAAAAACGTCTTATTTACCTTTTATTAAACAGCTATTTTCATAGCCAGACATCTATGTAAAAACATTATTTGGCACTGTACAGTTATTACAATAAGGTTTGACTCTTGGTAAGTATTTATAAAGTTTATTTAAAATTAAAAGTTATTTACAAAATTATATTAAAAAATTTTCACAGTAAAATTAAAAAAAAAAAAAGAAATTTTTTTTGCAAGATAGTGGTAGGATGTAAAAGTCTTTGTCAGTCATTATGAACTTGTAAACAGGTTTGTTCTTATGCAGTTAATGTTTTTTGTCTTTTGTACCTTATAAGTTTGATTTTTGTTATAAATAAAATTTATAAAATCTTGCGCCTACTATGGATTTACTATTTAATTTTTATCTTAAATGGTAATATCGTGGTCTAGAATTTTTTTTACAATCTTTATTTTAAAAATTACAACCTGTATATATATTATACATTACATCAGCTAAGTATTTTCACAAAATACTTTTTTTAATTTACAAAAATCATATTTTAGGGTTAATGACCATTTTATAGATCTTATGAGTCACTAAAAGAAAGGTAGGAGAGGGACATACCTTTTTTTATACCAAAATATTTCATGTAAAGGCTCCTGCACAACAGTTAAAGAGCAATATAACATAACATTTTCAATATAGGAAACAATTTTTTCATATCTTGCATCAAATTTAATTTTTTTTACAGCACTTTTTAAAAAAACTTTATTTTGACACTCATTAAAAAAAATACACTAAATTTAATTCTCCCAGATACACAAAGAGGTCTAGGGTGCATATTTGAAACTTAATAGTTCATTGACTGAGCTTTAAAACATTTTTTTATTCTGTAAATCCTAAACCCATTTAAACATTTTTGGATTATAAAATAGCATTAAAAAAATATAATCTTAAAAATATTACACAGTATGAGCATCCAAGCTAATGCACCTTAACTTAAAACTTAAAAATGTTGATGATAAGCGTAGATTTTGTGTGCTTAATTTAATCCACATAAACAGAGCTATTCATTAACTGTGCTGTCTTTAAAAAAGTTGATGAGTTTGGTGTTGCTGGTTTAGATAAAATTGATATTGAAACACAGGAGTCAATGACCAATCTATTTTGAAACAGAACAGAAGTAAATTACCTCTCAAGCATATATAACCTGTTTTTCTAATTCCATGCAGAACACAGATAGAACACAACAAAGCTTATAACAATTTTTATATGCTAAGAAACAGCTGCTAGAGTATGAAGATTTTCTTTGCAAATCACAATCATGGTGGACTGCAATGGGTAAAGGGCAGTGGAAGTTGGGTGAGGGGAAAACAATTAGGATAAACAGAATTGCCTAAACTAACACTAGGAACGACACCAGCAATTCATTAGTAACTACATACTATAAGAATTAGCATCAGCCACAAATGTACATACCATAATGATGTATCAATAACACATTTGTGGTTGACGCTAATGGAACTGTCAAGCAGACTTCTGGGTATATTTTCTATTAGATTTTTAAACATACCATTAAGCTTTGAAGCTAGAGGATCATTTACATCAATTGCTATTACTTTCCAATCTGTTTCACCATTGTCAATCATAGCTAAGACACCCAGCAACTTAACTTGCAAAACAGATCCTCTTTCTGCAACCTATATTTGAAAAAAAAAAAAAAAATCATTAAATACTTTTTTTAAAAATGAATTAATTAAATAATAAAACATATATACAACTTAAACCCAACTAAAATTTAGTTAAAGAGAATGGTTTGGTAAAAAAAAAGTCAAAAATTAGAAATAAATTTTTAGAAAAAAAAATGCATTTTCCAAACCACCATACATGCAAGACCAAGATCTTAAAATAAGACTTAAAATAATAATTTTGTTCAAAGAACTAAAATGGATTTGAAACCCTAAAAACATTATGCCATTTTAAAGTATAATAAATAAATATAATGTAAACAACACTATGTAACAGAAACTTTGCACCTTGTTTCCTAGAGTTATATTTCAACCACTCAAGTTAAAAGCCTATGGAAAACAACTATATTCAACAGACTTTCATTTTATGACCACACTCTAGAAAAATGTTTTATTTATTGTTACATAACAAGTAAAAAATTAAAAGGTCTGCTCTGTGAAAACAAAATAAGAGGGTTTTTTTTAGAATTGGGGCAAAAGGGTTGTGGCAAAATATTAATTTGAATTAAAGTGATTGGAAATTGCAATATCTGGAAATGCTTTTGATCTTTAAATTTTAGGTTTTTTAAAAACCGGAAACTCTGTTTTTATCACTAAATTTAATAGCTGTTATTCAATAAAAAAATATTTATATTAATTTTGAATTATTATATAAAATCATATTATAAAACCATATTACTATTATTTTTATTAAAAATTTTGATTAAAACTTTTTAATTCATTTTTTAAATCATCAAATAAAACTAGTTAAATACATAGATGAGTATTTGACTTTAATAAAGCATGATAAAGTTCAATGTAATTATTAAAAAATAACTGCTAATCACAATTAGGGTCTGCGTCTCAGAACGGTACAAGACGAAACGAAACAAAACGATGAAAAATATTGTTTCGATAAAACCGTTACGAAACGAAACAATTTTTATCTTTTTTTCGCAAAATACAGTACGAAAAGAAATACAATTTTCTGGTTTCGTGATAAATACGGGACACATTTTTTGTTTTGAAAAAACCGGTACGAAACGAAAAAAAATTAAACTTTTTCCGAAATAAAACGGTAAAAAACGAAACAAACAAACAAGAAATTTCTGAGTTTTACGAGAAATATAATGTTTTTACGACAGATAGGGCTAGCATAAAATAAAAAAGTAATTTACTTTTATATTGTACCAATTTAAGCACACATTTGCGATTTTAACGAAAAATCAGTTTTTATTTAGACAATTATATTTCACGATTTTAAAATTTCACAATAAAAAGTAAAACATTTTTATTTTAATACTTGTTGAGTGTCACTTTCGGATGTTTTTTCGGATGATGTTGTTTCGGATTCTTCCGGAATATCCATTGTTTTTCTTTTGATTCCTGAAGATGTTGGTGTTGATGGTAAAGAAGAAGAACATAATGGCGTTGTTGAAACGTTTTTTGTTTTGAACAACAATCTTTTTTGGTTATTTGAAAAAACTGCTTTAGGAATTGGATTTTTGGGAGGTGTTCTAACTGGAGTTAATGCTGGGGGGTCCAGGGCTTCTTCAGCGTCGCTTATAATTTTCAAGGTCATGTGAGGACAGACAAGATCATAATTGACTTTATGCTTTTCTTCAACACGAGGCATAGCGTGGAAAGATTCAAACTCCCTTTCAATTTCCGGTACATTTTGACTAATGGTGTGGTTATTATTACCCTGTTCAATCTCTATATTTTGTAAATCGTCGCACTCATCCACACCAACTGGCATTTTAACTTGTGTAGCTTTATGATTATTTTTTTCACTGATCGAAACAGCGTCCGACGATGGATGATCGTTGATGACTTTTCTAGTGAACTCTTCGAAGATACCGTAATGTCTAAGCATATATCCTGAAATCATAAACAATAACTGTTAAATTTAGTCTTTTAACAAATAAAGAATATTAAAGAATGTTTTTTTTACCAAGAAATAAAACTTATAACCTCTAAAGTACGGATTAAGAAGGTTTCCCAAGGCATAGTGTTGGTTGTATCTTCCATGTTCATTGAATCGCGTGGCTAGGTGTAAATGCTCACTTAGTTTTTTACAAAAAGCATTAACTATTTCTCTGTTTTCCATATCAATGTGGTCATGAAGAAAATTGTCAGTTTTATAAAGCACAGTTAGCATATGATGAAGCACTGGTTCAGTGTCCTTGGACATGCAATCTGACATAATCTTCATTTTTTTAAAGACTGGCATCAGTGAAGCCATCAGTGAAAATTGGTTGTCACTTGGAATAACTGTAGTGGGTTGTTATTTAGTGCATCTTTTTCTCTAAGAGAAATCAACACATCTTTAAGTTTAAGGATTGACTCCAGCATAAAACAGTTAGAATTCCACCTGGTTTTTACCGGAGCAATAATTTTAACATAGTTTACACGGAGCGACATACACTCTTTTTCAATAAGTTGACAAGCTAAGCTGGATCTGTGGACTTTGCTAGATAGTTGTGTGGCAATATCTATGCATTCTTTGAGTTCTTGCACTTCATTGGTAGCATGTAGTAGGCTAGTGTTTAGTAGGTGGTCTGCACACAACAGTGATTCATATTTTGTTTTGTTCATGATTGACACAGCATGTTTCATGTTTGCCGCTGCATCGTGGACAATGACTTTCTTGGGCACGGCGTCCAATACCGGATATTTTTGGATCATTTCTTCCAGAGCCTTAAACAAGAATGAAGAAAAATTAATGATTTATAAGATAACTTATGCAGCTTTTAGGTTTTACAATAAATTATAAATTCATTCAATAATTGACAAAATCCTAGAAGAAACGCTATTCTAGCGGAAGGATAAGTTTTACTTTTTTAAATTATTTTTGCACTTACAAATTTATATTTACGAGAACAAATTATATCAACATAAGAAAAATTACTTTGCTAATGTGGTAACCAGTGTGTCTTCCCACGAAATTGTCAAAGTTGAGAACATTTTTTTTCAGTTCAAACTGACTATTGATATAGTGAAGCGTAAAAGTCATGTATGGATCCTGTGACCTAGAGGTCCAACCATCAGTGGTGATAGCCACCTGTTGACAAGTAGAAACTTCTTTTTCAATTAGGTTTTGCACAGTATCCATAACGCTTTCATAAAGCAATGGCAGCTTGTACCTTGAAAAAGTCGAGGAATGTTTCACAATTACTTTTGGATTTAAATGTTCCACCATTTCTTTGAAGCATGGTTCATCTACTAGAGTGAATGGACTACTTGACCTGGCAATGTATGACATGATTACCATGTCTGTCTCCAATTGCCTGCCTGATTGGGAAAAATATTTCCCAATAGTTCCACCATTAACACATTTAGATAAGCCTTTTTGTGATCGTTGATCTAAAAAAATGAAATAAAAATTAAAGTTAAACATGAAAATTATCTTTATACAAGGAAAAACATTATTTTATGAAAAATAATTAGAAACTTACTGTATGCGTCATTCAGTTCGAAGGCAGCTTCTGTAATTTCTTTAATATCTTCTTCTCTTTGGCGCTCAAGTTCAATTTGGGCTCTTAACATCGTAGCGTAGTCAGCGGGATGCTTTGTTTTCAGATGGTACCTGATACCACTAGTGGATCCATCAGTTAACTTGATTTGGATTTGACACTTTTTACATTCCCCACACTTAACACCTGACACAGTAACTTTATTGAAATAATTCCATAAAATTGTAGCTTTTATAGGCATGATTATATGATTGAGAATTACTATGGTTTTTAAACAATAAATTAATTAGTTTTGCAAAATATTTCAAGTTAACACAACAATATCGCATTTAAAATGTTATATAATATAATTTGAAGTATTTAATTCAAACAATGATTTCAAACTCTTCATGCGAGTTTATAAACAAATACATAATTTATGTCTGATGAACTTAAAGTTAAAATTTTATTACAGTAAAACAGTTTTACTGTAATAAAATTTTAACTTTAAGTTCATCAGTTTTACTAAAACCTACCTAGACAATATCTTTTTTTAACTTCGTTAGATACGCTAAGCCTTATGAAAATGATGCTATTGCATTGCTTTGTTAATACTTTTTTTTAGTTAAACTTTGATTTACGAAACATTGAGTTAGTAAGTATTAAACGTAAAAGTTTATGTATTGCTCGAGGGCATGGGAATCGTGAAATATCTGTTTGGACGGGGAGTTATGAAATATTCCGTAAAAACCGATAAGAAACGAAACAATTTTATTGTGTTTTGTAAATAACGGTACAAATCGAAAAAATAATTTCACGTTTCGTAACAACATCATACGAAACGAAACAAGATTTACGTGTTTCGTATAAATACGATACAAAACAAAATGATATTTTTTGTTTCGTAAAAACGGAACGAAACGAATACTCACATTTTTTACCGTTTCATACCGAACTTCCGAGAGAATACGAGCAGACGCAGACCCTTAAATCACAAAGCCTATTGAAAAACAACTATATTCACAAGAGTCTAAAGGATTCAAAAAACAACTATATTCACAAGAGTCTTAAGGAGTTTAGAAGTGATCAAATATTTTAAATAAAAGAAATTGTGAAATAAAATACTTTCATATCTTAAATCTTATTCAATACTTTTTTATAAATTAAATAGTCCTAACTCTTTTGCAGATATGTAGAAAAAACTAAAAAAAAATTACTAAAGATCAATTTTGATTTTTAGAAATTTTTTTTTAGTGTACATACATCAACTGACTTAAATAATGGTAGTCGCAGTGAAGTGTACATACATCGACTTAAGTTTTAGATTTTAGCAAGTATACTTGTATATAAAAGAAAAGTATTTTAATTCTTATATATAGGGTTTACAAACAAAATTAATTTAATAAAAAAATTATCAAATTACATAGTTGTTAGGTGAAATGGTCACAATAATCATATTATAATATAATAGGAAAGATGTCATTGACATAATCATTGGAGTATACTCAAAGAGTATTGACATACTCATTGGAGAGTGTTTGACATGTTACTCTTGGCAGCTATTGCAAATGAGGTAATAGCGAGAAAGAGTAGCAGCACTTTTTTATATAAGAAAAGTCAATGAAAGTGTATGCTATTATCTTGGTTATACAAATATCTAACTTTCTTCAAATTATGTAATGTTAAAAATATACTAAAACATATATCAAGATTTTCAGTTTTAGTTTCACTTAAAAATCGCATTGCAGCAACATCTCCCAAAGATTTGATATGTAATACTTAATTCCAAGCAAGTAGCACGCAACGCTCTGAGACAGGAAGTCCAGGATCAATTCCTACCATCATTTTTTTTTTTAATTTAATCTTAGATTTTTCTTAAATACAAAGTAAAACGCTTTTGAAGAAAAAAATTTGTTTTGAAATAAAGAAATTTGTTTTGTTTTGTTTTTTAAAAAACAAATTAAAAAACATTAAGTCATTAAAAAAAAAGCAAGCTGATGATTTGAACCCACCACGCGACAACCTTTACTTTATTTAATTAAACAATAAGAGGGTTTAAAAATATATATATTTATTAAGAACATAATTCAAAATTCTAACTTTATATTTAAAATATACCATTTTATTAAAATTATAATTTTTAAAAAGAATAAAAAGTTAAAATACATAATATTAAGGTAATACGGAAATTTAAAGTTTTACAGCTATTTTACCACACCCCCATTAATCATTTTAAAACGAGTGCGCAACTATGACAGAATTTAGATAACTATCAAAATAGTATTATACTCTGTATAATATTAAAAGTACTCTGACACTTTTATGTGTTGAGGCACAAGGCATTGTAGATAACTGTACACGCTGTAGATATGATACACAGATGTACACGCCGTTAGTTTTTTGTACTCCCTATTTTACTTTTATCAATTTCTGAAATATCTTTGAATCTTCTATTATCATTATCATAAATGAAATAATTATTGAATATACTTTTATTTGTGAATAGTATGCATTTTTTAATTTTTCAATCTGTTTTAAAGTTTCTAAAATTGTGATTTATTTAAATTGTATCATCAGGATGTTAATTTTATTGAAGTTGACAATAATTAGTATTTGAAGTTGACCATAATTTTTAATTTTTTTTGTAATTGTTTAATCTACCAATTGTTAATTGATGATGCAGATATAGTTAGTATATTTTTTGTAAATAAAACTTTTTTTTAAGTATTTTATTATGTTATTATGTATAAATTAATTGATTTGCAGTTAATAAATGTGATGAATTTTTTCCATTATTTAATTCGATTAATTTTTTTTAGATTAATCAGATGACTTGTTTGTTTAATAGTCATACAGTTGAAAACTATTGAACATTTTTATGTTTTGTTAATTTGTTAGTAAATATGTATATAAAAATATTTTTTTTTTACAAAGCTATTAGGACTTTTTTTAAAACCACTTTCCGAAATGATTTGTATTTTATCTTTTTCCGAAATGATTTGTATTTTATCTAAATGTGAACTAAAGTCTACGGAAATAACTAACCTGTAATCTTCAAGTTATGTAAATTATATCAAATTTTACAGATTTACTTTTACTTGAAAATTTCATTTCGGCAATATCTCCTTAATTTTGATCTTATAGCATTTATATGCTATAAATGTTTAATAACTCTTTTTCTAATTTTCTAGAATAAAAAATTTTAAAAAACATTGAAAAAAAAAATTTTTAAAACATGCATTAACATTACATACTATAAAAAATGAAAGGGAGAGAATGTTTTAAAAAGATTTTTAAAATTTCTTAAAACACTAAAACACCATTGGAAATATTTTGCACATATGTCATGATAGAGATAAATTAATTATAAGCACATAAAGTTAATATGCTTACAATTATTATTATTTTTTTATTTATTTTTATTTTTAATTTATTTACCTACCCAAGGCCCGAGGGGGCCACTACAGTCGAGGAGGCTACTCATTTTTTTTTTTTTTTTTTTGTAAGTTGTGGTATAACCCTCTCTCAACTCTTTAATTCCGAAACACGAACCGTGACAAGCAAGACCGCTGCGCGGAGAAATTAAGTTGAGCGCGGTACTTCCAGGGACGTGGTGGGAGTCAAACTCAGAACCGCTCGCTTACAAAGCGAGCGCTCTTACCACTACACCACTACCGCATTAATCCTTTCGCTTATAAACTTAATTTTTTTAAGTTTTTTCTATTCTAATTTTCTAGAATAAAAAATTAAAAAAAAATTTTTTATTCTAGAAAATTATTGTTTATTATTGATAAACAACTTATGCTGTTAATGTGCTTATTCAACTTTCTTCAAAATTAACAGGGCAAGAGAGGTAAGAAGCTGCGGATGGTTTGAAAAAAAATTAATAGAAACTTATTAATGAAAAAAATAATCTATCCCCTACCTGCTTTTTTTTTATTTTTATTTTTGTAGAAGTTATAAAGTATTAAACATAAATCAATAACTCTTAACAAAGTTTTTTTATTAAGCAAAATTATTAAAATGGTTGGAGTGGAATAGACTTATAATGACCAGTATATGGGTCATGGTAAGTCCACTATTCCACATATTTAAGTCATCTAATGTTTTAAACATTTTTTTAAACCGATGGTAATTAAGAAATTTCAAGCGAGTGTTCTAAATATTATTTAGACAACTACTAATATCTAATTAGTTGATAAATAGCAATTTGCGCAACGGCTATCAAAACATTTAAAGATTTTTTAAGTTAATTAAACTTTTTTTTTTCAAAGCTTTAAAAAGTAAACAACAAGTATAATTTTTGTATATGGATTTAGTTATTTTTCTGCCAACAACTAAAAAATATTGAAGTAAGGAATAATTATAGAAAAGGTCAGTGTGAAATAGATTTAACAAGACCTATATTTTACGGGTCCAGACAGCTAGTTAATAATAAAACACATGTACAATTAAGAAAAAAATGCTTAACTCAACTAAATTTAGTGTTGAGAAATTATTAAACAAAACCTTTACTGTTTTGATTATTTATTTATTTGATTATGAAATTGATGAAACCTTTAATGTTTTGATTAAGACAAAGTTATATTAAAAATATTTTAAACCTTTAAAAGTATTTTGAAACTGTGTGCATAACCGGAAAAAACAAAATTTTGAAAAATTATCCAAAAAAAAAAAATATTATTATGTATAAACATTTTAGTTCTTTTAATAAAACAATACAAGTGAAGAAAAACTTAAGAACTTCTTTGAACAATCCCATTATACACTTAAGAAAAAAAGTTGAAAGAATTAAAACAAATTAAGAGAATTTATAAAATAGTAATAAAAAATTACTTTGTAACCTATCTCTATTACATCAACAGGATCACCATCACCAAATGCATTAGTGTGCTCATCAATAAGATTTGGATCCTCCCAAGTCTAAAAATAGTTTGAATATATTTTTATCTAAACCAGTAAAAACTACTTTCTGTTTGTGATATTTATTTGACAAAATATGTTTATGCAAACAACTCCTTTATATTGCTCACTAACAAAGATGGTTTACCGTGTCACTATTCGATGTGACACATCAATGTTTATAAGCAATTTTTTATTCAAAAAATCATGAATTAATTTTCTCAAAAATAAATTAAAGTTATACCTGTGGCAAAGCTCCATAATTCCAAGGATAACCTTTATAAGGAAACACATTTTTTATAAATCGAACTGCTCCATTTTTTGTATCTTGTTTAATTGGGTTAAGTTTACTTTTAGTACAAATCTAAATAATAAAAATATCAGCTAATTTTTGAAAATTTCTTAATGCTTTAACAAACAAAAGAAATTCAACTAACCTCCATTTTTGCATTAGTCCATCGTGGAATTTCTACAACCATGTTGTAAACATTGTTCTAAATTTAAAAAATGACAAAAGTAACCAAATTTGAAAAGTTAAAACCAATTTTCCTAATTTTTTCAAGATATATATGCATCTTTGCTATCCTGAAATTAGTTTCGCTTTAAATAAGTTAGGGAGCAATGGATAATAATTATCATTTTTTTCAATAAAATTTTACATTAAAACATTTAAATGCTTAAATATTTTTAAGATTAAATACTAGAACCAATTTTAAGGAAAAAAAAAGTAAAATTTCTTAAAATTTATAGAAACCAAACTTTGAAACATTGAAATAAGTTATATTTGTCAAATTTTGTTACTATAAATTTTTTTTTCAATTTTTAACTCAATTTTAAAAAACTAATATACCTCTCCTTGCACTAACAATGGAATGTCGTGAAATGGTGAAATTAAACCAGCCTCATTTCCTGTATTTTTATTTAAACAGAAATTAAATAAGATTGCTTTTTAATATAAAAATATAAACTAACTTGCAAAAACATACATTAACATACTACAAATATTTTAAAAAATCAAAAAACGTTTAACTAAAACACACCAAAGCAAAATTTTATTGATAAATGAAAATTTAAACAAAAAAACATACACTTTTGATACCAATATTTTTAGCATATTTTTTTAGTAGAAAAATTTTGGTAGTGTGCATTACTTTCATCTGTAATGCACTCTTAAAGATTTCTTTAACTCTCTTTTCAAGTTTTAAGCTTGAATTAAGATATTATTCCTTTATCTCTCTCTTCATGTTTTAAGATTAAAGTGGGAGATCATTTCTTTATTTTCTCTTCATGTTTTAAGCTTAAAGTGAGAGATTATTTCTTATCTCTCTCTTCAAGCCTTATAAATTTTATGTTATGGGATAAAACTTATAAGACAATAAAAATTCATGAAAATAGCCAGCTCTATTATTCAACAGAAAAATTTGAATAAGACATTAACCCAAAATCACCTTAAAATCTTGATGAGTCTGATATAGTATCTAAAAAAGAAGTTGTTTGTTTAATAATTGTTATTTCGTTGCACTTGGATGCACTTTAATTGTGATGGCGAATTGAAATAACTAGAAATGCTTTCGGTCTTTAAATTTTAACTTTTTAAAAAACCGTACATAACTAAACTCAATAACTGCTATTTAATAAAAAATTTATATTTATCTTGAATTATGATACAAAACCAACTAAAAATTATAAAACCATATTAATTGCTATTATTTTTATCATTTAAAATTATGTTTTAAACATTTAATTTATTTTTTAAATCATCAGATAAAGTATGATTTAGTAATTAAAAAACAGCTAACCACAACAGTCTTTCCACAAGGAATTTAGCAGTGGTCAAATATTTTAAATGAAAGTAATCATGAAATCAGATAAAATACTTTTATATCTTATTTAAATTTTAACCAATATTTACAGTAAATGCTTGTAACGTCTTGGCAGATATGTATACAAAATAAAAGGCAGCAGAGTTTAAAAAAATATAAAAAACTGATTTTATCTTTTTATAGTTATTTTAAAACAAAACAAAAAAACTCTTATAACTTATTTTAAAGTATATCTTTTTTATTATTATTTTTATTATCAAATAATTATTTTATCATTTTAAACACAAATGAAAATGAATTTTAATATTTCAAACAATATGCAAAAGGTTTTTAGCATCATTTTTTATTGGTTGATTTTTAAATTACCACACAAATTTTTCAGACTTTAAGTAACTTTTTTTAATTTAAAATTACCTGGTGTTTAAATAAAAAATAATTAAAATGTGTAAGTTTTGACTGCTCTTTTTTGCAGAAGAAATTTGTTTTTTGATTATTTGATCGTTTCATTAAAACAGTGTTCACAGCTTTTATTGAACTGAGAATTTAATGATCAGAAACATTCCCAAATATTGCAATTCGCGATCACTTAATTTGAGCCTTGATATATTTAAAAAAAGACAAAAACTGTTTCTTTCTACAACTTTCTCAAATCTAAACAAAATCCATGGGAAAATATTGTGGAAATTTTTTAAAACTTACACCTTCAGAATTATTTGCTTAAAAACAACTTTTCAAGGTTTCCTATTTGAAACGTTTTCCTATTTTTCAAGGTTTCCTATTTGAAATATAAAACCTCAAAATTTTCAATGCTATAATTAAAATTATTAACTCATTTTAAAACAAATTCAATATATGGATCTCCCTCACAAATGGTTTATCATGTAAGTCTTCAAAAAATAATCAATTATTAGATCCTTCAAAATAATTCAATATTTCTTTTGATATTTGTGTAGTTTGCTTTCAAGAAGCACAACAGCAAATCATTCACATTTTTCTATATCAAACTAAATTACAAATTGAAGCAAAAATTTATACAACAAAACTCAAAAATTAACATTAAAAACCACGTAAACACAAGTTTTGATGACTTTGCTTGAGGTATTTTTATCAACTTACAAAAGCTTTTGATACCATTGATTATACCACTTTAATTTTTATCCTAGATTATTACGGACAGGGCTCAAAGCGTATCGCGATTGCTTTTTATACTTTCGCAATTATTTTTTTCTCAAAACATATATTTTCGCAATTGGTTTACTTTTTTGTTGTTTATATACTTTTTTCCTAATTTAGCTTTTTCTTTTGGCAATTCTTAAAAAGTAATGTTTTCATAGTAAAGTACGCCACGCAAAGTTTGTTTTTTGAATAGAAGCATGATCATTTGCTCTTTCGTGCAGAGATTTTTATTCAATGTAAAGCACTTTAATTTAAATTACTTTAAATCTCTGCGTAGTTGCAAATTAAAAAGACAAAAGTTAAAAAGAATTTTTTCTTCATTCTATTTTTTTTAACAAAACAGCATTTTTATCTTTTTTTTTTTTAAAAATGTTGCTCCAAATTAACTTATTAATAATGAATTAAATTATTATTTTATAAACAATTTTATATAATTATTTTTACTGCTATAAGTATAATAAAATATATATTATTTTGTTTTTATTAAATAAAATCTATTAGTAAAATTGTACTAACAGAAACCAGCAACTTTTTTGCTTTCACGTTTTTCCCATTTAACGACCTTGAAACTATTGAAGTTATATTTAATTAACCTTACTGAATGGATAGAGTATATCACTGTAAATTAACTTATAACCTAAATCAAAAAAACCAGTTAAGTTAAGAAAGTAGCTTAAGATAGTTACTCAAGTATTAGTTTAACAATTATATTAATTTATTTAATATACTCGCAAAAGTTAGCCATAGACATGTTTCAATTTAGATCTTACATGTTGTTAAAACATAATATAAGCTTTTAACTAATAATTATTTTAACAAAAATTGTCGAATAGAAAATGAAAAACATGACACCAATTTTTTATATTTTCATTTTATTTATAGCGACATCTAGACTAAACGTTTTCTATAAATACGCAAGTTGTTTTCATGAAATTTATTTAAAAAGAAATCTTTTTGAACAAGAGAACTTTAGCCTTAAAATTCACTTATTCAAATAATTTTGTGATTGAAATTTGAAATTGAAAAAAAAATTTAAAAATTTAAAAAAAGTTTGATGAAACAAGGGAGAATGAAGATGAAAGTTTTTTTTTCGTAAATGGAAAATTTTGAGGGAAGGGAAAATTTTTTTTTTGCGATTCGATTTTTTTGCATTAATTCGAGCCCTGATGGAGTTAGTGGAGTTGCTTGAGAATGGTTTCAATTTTATATCTCAAATTGGAAAAAGTATGTTAGCGTTAACGATTACAAATCATATAAAAAACTTATAGTGTGTCGTGTATATCAGGGTTCTGTTTTTGGTCCTCCATTATTTTTGATATATGTAAATGACCTAAAAAACTCTGTTTACTTCTAATCAGTCCATCTATTTGCTGATAATAAGAACATCTTGTATATCAATAACTCTCATAACTCTTTGTTTAAAAATAAAAATTTACTATAAAGGTGAAATTCATTGGATAAATGAAAAACTTAACTTCTCTTAACTTAGGAAAAAAACTGAACTAAATTTTTTTAAACTTCTATATAAAAAAGTTACTCAAGTTATTTCTACTGATAATACTTTTATTATTATTATTACTACAAGCTGAGATCGGATCCGTAAAAATATGGGTCTTAGTAAGTCTATTCCAAACCGAACTTTTTTATTAATTTTTCCTTATATATCCTAGCTTAGCGGATCCGTAAAACACAGGACTTTACCAAACCTACCATTTCTATACATACCTATTCCACACTGAATTTTTTTATACCTATTTCTTATTTACTTCAATACATTTTAGTAAAATAATTTTGTTCTGAAAAAAAACTTTAAGAGCAAAAAAATTAACATGCGCACCTTTTCCGCATACATAGAGCTTATAAGAGACTTTTATATAGGTTTGTTTTTCTGCTAAATGCATTTCATTTAGGAGGGGGGGGGGGAGTTAAGACCTCCTCTTTGCATAATAAATTTTGAAATTTTTAAAATCTTGTTTATATATTTATAGCATAAAAGATTTCTAAAATTTAAAATAAAATTTTAAAGTTTTTTTATTTTATAGATATATTATAAATGATTATTCCATGTAATGCCTGCAAACCCAACATATGCTAAAGATCCTTACACCTACAGACGTTTGTACGTAATGCTATACAAATGGAACTAAAAAGATATTAGACCATTAAAATATAGTCATAAAAAAAAGTGCATTTTAATGATTATTATTAAAAACTAAAGAATAATATAGCCTTAGCTATTAAACACTAATCAAAAAGTTAAACCAAAAATATTTGGCGCATTGATGTCGGTTTGTGGCAAAATAAACCTTTATGCGTCAAATTTTTTATTGCAATATATATTTTTTTGACATTCCGCAGCTTATTAGGACTAATTACCTGAGCACATAAATAACATAAGTATCTCAATCATGACACATACGCAACAAATTTTTTCTCCCGGTGATGGTTTTTTTTGATGTTTTATGAAATTTAAGTTTTCTTAAATCTGTTTGTAAAAGTGTATAATATCGTTACATATGTTTGTATATAATCTCTATAAAACTTCAAATGTATTTTGTTTTAAAAATAAAAAAGTCGCCAGTGGTAGGAACCGAACCACAGCTTACTTGTTCAGAAGCTCGACACGCTATCCACACAGCCAGACTGGCACACTGTGAAGCAAAGATTTTTAAAACTATACAATGATTTTTTTAATGGAAAAAAATATTATAGATCAGAATTAAGAAGAGCTTGATGCAATGCAATTTTCAAGTGAAAATCAAACTGTAAAACTTGATAAATGTATCAGTATGTTTTAACATTACTTAATTTAAAGTTTATATACATTAGATATTTGCATACACGAAGTCCACGTTTTCTTATAAAATACAGTACTGCGATTCTTTCTCGCCACTACCTCGGTTGAAATGG